CCCCCCCCCCCCGGTGTAGAGGCTTACCTCGCACTCGGTTGATCAGGTTGGTCATGGCTTCTTGCACACAGTGGGTCTTGAGATCCGGGTATTTGAAAAGGAGGAACACAACGGACTGGAGCAATTCCGAGAGCTTGAGCTTAGATAACCTCCATACAATACACCGTCTACTAAGTGCCCCCCGTGGTCTGTGTTCAGGGCAATTTAATATCCGATCCACATCTGGGGTATGTTATCCTTTCTATCAATCCACCTTGAAGTTCCCTCAGCAGTCTTTGGCCTTTGTAGATTGTAGATGTTAATGTCAGTGGTTACATACCTGAGAACTGTAACCACTGGCTCTGCCAAGTGGCATTGAAGCCAAAACCATGCAGGTCAGGGGGCAGTTTCATTTGCCACTATTAAAGGAACATCCCATCACCCTCTGGCGTACATTTTTGTTTATTGTCATGTGACAGTTTTTTATAAAACAAAATACAGACTAATGATGTCAGGACCACGGTGGAGCGCCAGAGCCAGGTCCCAGCTGCAACCCTGGTAGTTCTCATGAAAATGCCAAGTATCGGCATTGGTACTCGAAAAGTATCTGTGCATCCCTAGTTTTCATCATCGATTAGTTGCCTGATTCTTTTCCCCGACTAATCGATTAGTTGTATTTAAAAAAATCTCTCTCCCAACCAACTAATCGGTAATGAGAATAGTTGATAAGTATTCGTTGTTGCAGCCCTGATCTCCATGGATCTGATGACCATGTCATGTTGACTACCCCATTTCTCTCCCCAACTTTCTCACCTGACCCCTGGTAGATGGCTCTCATCTCCTGTATCTTCTGGTCTACTTTCCTGAGCCGAAAGCACAACTGGGCCAATTGTGGGGAATTCATCGGGTGGCATTTACGCCCCATCCAGGTTGAGTGGCAGAGAGCCGTCAGGAAGCATTCCCCAGCATGGTATCTTCTCGGCATTGTCCCAACCACCCCTGCACAGTTCATGTCCTGGGCAGTAAAGAAGGGTCACCACTCACCGCAAGCAGACGTTTCTCACGGTCTCATCTCTTTTATGAGTCTCTCGTTCTCCGTTCTTTCAGGTTGAGTTGTTTGGTTGGTCTGAAGACCCGACTCCCCGATCATCCCTTAACTGACAGCGGATTGAGAATGAAGGATTCTGATTCTTCTTTAACCACAAACTCCATTTTCTCCGCTGACATCCTTCTCATCATTCCCTCCCGAGGTTCTCTGACACAAGAGCTGGAAAGGGAATCCGGAGGTGGAACGGATGATGGGAATCAGTCTTGCACGAGACAATCCTCCGCCGGTCCTCCTGACATCTCACGCAGACAATCACCGGGGCTTATAACGTTGACACTCTTTCTAGAAGTCTGTCGCTCTCAGTCCAGGGAGATGAGGTTCTGGAATCCGAAGCCAAAGCAAACGTGAGTGACACACGGAAACGCCTTAATAACTCCGTCACCGAGGATGTACACAGCGGCAGACAGCAAGGAGACGGACTACCACGGGAGACCCCCCAGAAGGTCATTCAAGGCTACACGGAGCCACCGAGAAATGGGCCGGGTGCTCTCTGATTCGCAGTGGTCCAGCAATCCCGCAGACTCTGTTCTGCTGTCACCATCAGGAGTTAAATTCCCGTAACAGGTGTGTGCCGAGATTTTAATGATCCCATTAATTATAGATAACCTGCTCGGCAGGATAAGGAATCAAACCAGCCCGACGTCTTTCCATACAAGGCCCAGGAAAAACATTCAACACGGGATTTGTTTTTATGTAGAAGAGCTTAGCCTGCCTCACGCAGACACACGTGCGAATGTTCCCACACCCGAAAAACACTTTATGTATGCGGCAATAAATCCGACATCTCCTTCCCAAATCTTTTATTGGATGGAGACGGGTAAAGTGAACATCTATGTCAGGCTCTGTGTAAGGAAAGGTCCAGTATGAAAAGGCCAGCGCGGGCACATGTTGTAGCTAATGGACTTGTACAGTACATGCGGTCACTGCTATGTGTGCATTAGCATGCGTGCCAAGTGGCATGTGCGCAAGCATGCATGCATGCTCAGCAGTGGTGTTTTCCCCAGAGACCAATATAAACTGGAGTGCGATGTGGGCTTCAGCTGGTTCCTGACAACCTGTGACCCGATCTGCTGTTCTGCCTTCCCGTAATGACCAAATTGGGTTATTAGTGACTAGGGGCGGACACAGGGGCGTAACTATCATAGGACCTCATAGCAAAATTTTGTACGGGGCCCTGTGATTTCTAGTTACGCCCCTTGCAGAGCCCACCTGAGACCCCACACAGCCCACCTGAGAGTGACCCTGCAGAGCCCACCATAGACTCTCTATGGTGGGCTCTGCAGGGTCTCAGGTGGGCTGGTCACACCCCTTACCTGTCAGCCCTGGTCCGCCTCCTCCTCCTGCACGGTCCCTGGCGGGCCCCGCCTCCTCTTCCATCGCCGGGCCCTGCCTCCTCTTACGTCACTGGCTCCCCCGTCCTCTTATGTCGCCGGGCCCCGCTGACGACGCCCCGGCCCAACATCCTGCTCCTCCGCTGCTGGCTGTCAGTGACACATAGCGGCCGCCTGGGTCGCTGTGGCGATTGTTACGCCACTGGGCGGGCAGACAACACATGAGGACCCCCGGGCAATACGAGATTATGGGGCCCCCCATTGTGCTCTGTCTATATACAAGTCCCACCCACAAGCACCACCCATTCACAAGCCCCGCCCACATAATTTGGAAATTGAGCTAAACGGCAGAATTTTTCTGGTTAGGCTATTGTGACCTAGATTCCTGCAGAAGTCGATGTATGGCTGCTTGTACTCACCCCTCATTAGTACTGGGAAGCCATCAGTGTGCTGTGCAGAACTAGGTGACACAGCATGGATGCTGCACTAGGGCTGTCCAAAGGCATCCCCCGCCAGGCCCCCTGGTATTCCCCTATAGGTGGCCCTGTCTGCCATGGCCGTACACATATAGAGGCGTGCTGAGTTCCTGACGCTACCGCAGCTCCTTCACTGACACCTGTACCCCCCCGTTGGCAGCCCCCAGTGAGCCGCCCGGGACATAACACTGGACGAAGGCATCGTGGGACATTAAGTTACACAGCACGACAGTTGGCAGCCGCCGCAGGCACCCTCATAGCCGTGGGCCCTCAGGCAGTGCCAGAGTACCCGAACGGTCAGTCCGCCGCTGTTAATGACCTCGGCCTGTACGACCGTCTCTGCCTTGCGGGCGCTGCCCGGCTGTTACTGACGTTGACCTGCATACCAAGCCACAGAAGAAGCTGATCAAGCCCGAGCTTCACTGGAATGCAAAGGTGACATTAGGGGTCTAATGGGTACCGTAGTTTTTCACCATTTCAGTTTTGCTGCTTGACATGTTTGGTGACTATTCATTCAGCAAAACCTCATAGTTTACCAAAAAAAAAGGTATATTTTTGTTGTGTGCACTGAGGGTGTAATAAACAGTTAAAAACAGGCGCAACTGCCGCCATGTTACCCTCCAGGGTCTCTGCCATCAGGAAATATATCATTCGGGGAGTGGGGGGGGGTGTAATTAATATTCAGGCCTAAAATGTGCATTTTAACACAAGTGCAGCAAAACATCTCTGGCAGCAAGAGGGTTACGGGCCCATCAGATGGGGGGTAACACATTAATGCCCCCTCTACAGTGCTTCGCGGCCCGCTGCATTGGGAGAAAAGGGTCCGGTGCAATTTTCTGTGCACTCCAGCGGTATTAAAGTCGCACAGTTTGTTATATGTAAGGTGAGCAGAGGACATCAAATGTTAGACTTTCAAACGCTCCAGAAACACTTACATCTGGTGCGTTTAGTGCCGCCGGCCCCCAGTTTGCTCTGTGCCGCTTACCTGAAACGTCCGGTTGGGGTACGTGCATTGTCACCATCCAGTATTGTCTTGGCAGCCACTATGTCCAATGTCATTGGAGGAGGAGGGGCGTGGCTTTGAATGCAGGGCTTATATGTTTATCTTGTCTTGAATTGTATAGTGACTGTAATGTTTTCCTTATATTGTACAATATACAATACGCAAACTGCTGGCGCTATATACATCCTGTATAATAATAATAATTATATAAAGAAGGACATGATGCACTTTTTTTTCCAGGTCAGTGCAAGTCCTTCTTTATATGTGTGAACTGAACTCAGAGGCAGCAACAAAGCTAGACATTCTGTCACCCGGGGCACATGCCCCCTCGAGGAAGAAGTTCTCCTCGAGTTGAGGGATGTTGCCCAGCGCAGGCGTGAGTGGGCCCTTAGGGAACCTTTAATCACATGTGCACAAAACACTGCTGTGTCTCGAGTCCAGAAATTCATCCCGTGACAACACACTGATCGCAGCTTCCCCGGACACTGTCCATGGTTCTGAGTGGGATGACGGGACGCATGGACACAGCGGCCCCGGGGGCCCTGCACTGATCACGGGGGACGTAGTTGTGTTTTTGTCTGTATACATGGAGAGAGTTCTGCATCACAGCTCGTGTGGCAGGAAGTGTTTCCTCACCGCCTGTGACACAATCTGCACACAGGAAGCACTGAGCACTGCGGCTCCCTGTCGCTTCTCTGCCAAGGGAGGGGTGAGGGCTGTGTATAGAAAGAGTCCCTACAGCCATTTATAGGGCACCTTCATCCTCGGCCGTACCGCAGCCGGCTCTATTCATATCTTACGAGCTGAAATCCAGAGAGCTGAATGTACAACTCGAATACATTCAACTGCATCACCGGTTGCCACCTTTTCTTCAAGCGAAACCCGAACACTCTAGCGACGCGCGGACATTTTTGTGGGAGAATGAGCCGTCAAAACCCGAACTGTCCGGGTGAATCCTGTACAGGTGGCAACCCTAATCACCCAACCAATGGATTTATGATTACGTTCAGCCAGAACTGTGATCCAGACACTCCTGCCAAACAGCACGGTCAGGTCCTGCTCTGTGCAGTGTATGTAAGAGTGGGCTCTGGTTAAAACCCCTTATAGTTCTTTTTTTTTTTTTTACTGTGGTGTCCCAATAGGGGGGATTTCCTTCTACTTCCTGTCCTGGAAACACAACAGGAAGTGGAACAAAATCTGCTTGAAGTGAGAGGAATTTCCCTTTTAGTTGTCACAGAAACA